ATACTGTCAAATTCTCTTTGATTAGAGGTTTGTTCAGTAACTGTTCAAGATTATGAGAAGTGTTGTGAGCAGACACGGCGTCTACCTTTGCGATGTTAAAAACATGTGCAATTTCTTTTTGGACGAATACGATCTGATAGGCTGGTGTCTCATTCAGAGTGAAATTGCCCAGCGAACGGTGGTCGAAGTCAAAACCGGAGAATAAAGATCTGAAAACGTTTATTAAAGTTTCTAAACTCGCCTTTTCGTGAAGCATATATGCAGGCGCGCGGGTGTTGAAACGATCGGATATAATTTTGTTAAAATCAGAGGCATCATTATTTAAATTATTAAAAGAGCCAGCAAACCTATCATAAATCTGTTTTGTTTCATCTAATTCATTTTTGAAATTTCTCGTTAGATATTCTTTTAATTCCTTATTCGGAATTCGCAATAAGTAGTAATTTTCTGGTGATTGCATGTCCGGTTTTGCATCGACATATCCGACATGGGTCATAAGAGTCCAATAAGACTCTTCCGTTTGTATCAGATCCTCAAATATTAAATCGTGGTAGATTTTTTTTCTTAATGACCGTCCACTCAGCAGAAAATAAAGGTCCAGCATACCGAACTTGCCTGAACACCTAATAAGGTGGGTGATCATCGTCAGAGAGCCTGATACTGCCCAGTAATCATCAAACACACCATTATGAATTGCTGACACAACAGCATACGGGTTGAATATGACATTACCGTCAAAGTGGTAGCCATCATACCATACTTCAAATCCTTCAAATGATAAGTTTGTTCCCGAGTAATTAATCAGCCATTTGACCTCGTGATCCAAAAAACCGAAAAGGGGTCCAAATTTAGTATCATTAAGAGTGGTGTAAGCCATGAAATCCGAAAGATAAGAAAAAATTGAAGATTTTGCTACATAGGTAATCCCAAGTATTACACCGCAATCAATAGAGAAATTTAAACCATCCTTGAAAAAAAACAAGTAAAACTGTCGCATCAAAATCAAAGTTCTTGAATGAAATTCCCCAAGAACCAAAGGCTTTCCCTCTGCAGTTTCTGATATGGCTTTTGCAATTGCCAGATGAAACGGCGCATCATACTCGTCAATTAAAACGGCTATTTTGTAACCGTTAGCTTGAAGTTTCTCTATCATTAGGGAATATCCACTCAGAACTTTGTCAAGGCCTTCGTCCTTACCGCGTAAGAACTCTTTTAGCATTTCTTCGTCCATTGGATCAAGAAACCGACGGTACTGACCAAATTTAGAATATAGATTCCGTCGTAGGTATATAAGAAAGCGGTTTTCAAACTCCAAAGCCGTAGAGGCGGCGGAGATACTCAGCAAACTAAAATGAAAAACAGCATACTTATGCTGATGTTTCATCCTAATTTTTTCGAACTTTGTATCGTTCTGGATACTGAAACCTGCAAAAAGGTTCATTGCTTCTACCTCTTCATCCTTGGTCAGGAAAGTTCTCAGCATCGATAAGTTCGTGGTTTTTCCAAACCGACGGGGTCGCGTAATCAGCTTCAGTTTAGGTCCTGTAAGTGCTTCCCCGATCCATGGGGTCTTGTCCACTATGATATTGTCATCCATGACCATTCTTTGAAATTGATGTTCTCCAAATGGTACCTGGTCCCTCAAGTCATGGGGATGAGCCTAAAAGGAAGAAGACAATTTATTAAGGGTAAGTAAAGAGCAGAGGGGCCAGGGCCCCCCCCCCACTACAATTGAAAATGGTATCATATGGCAACCGCCCCCCCCCAGAAATTCTGGATTGTGGGGAAACACCTTCGTCGAGGATGATTATCTCTCTTGTAGAGTCTAAATTGAAAAAGCCGTGTTCATTCACTTAGTATTTTCTAAAATTTTCACCATATAGGCCTCAACATTTGTCGAAGTAGAGTTAAAATTTCAAAAAAATTCCGAATCTACTCAACGCGACAATTCGGGAGCATTATTTGCTGAAATTTTGTAAAAATAAACGTAATTATTCGGCAAAGATTGATGAAACATCTGCATCATGAAGCCTCAAAATGCGTGCAAAAAAATTTAAAATTTAAAAAAATTTCCGGGGGAGGCTTAGGGTCGACAGTTTTGAGACTTTTTTCGAATTTCCAAGACAGCTAGGGCTATAAAGTTGCATTTGGCATAAAAATAACGCTCAATTTTTTTCAGAATTTTTGATACTGAATTGCACTTAAATTGGAACCCTCAAAATGAGCTGTCCGTGTGGTTTTGCTAAGAATCGACCTTGGCCCCGAGCCCCCCCCCCCCCCCCCAATTTTAGCGTACCCCAAAATCGTTCGACGTGCATAAGGAGACCATAGATATGTTCTTCCCTGCAATTTTTGAATGAAATTTAACAGATAGATTCTGACATATGGCTGTGCACAGATTTAGGGGACGCCGGGCGGACGGACACGCATTTTTTCAAGTATGGTTATTTTGACTGCAGGGACCTTAAAACGTCTAGAAATGATGAAATGAAAACTTTTTTTTTTCTTGGAGGGTGACAATACTACCCCTACCCTAGGGGAGTGAAAAAGTAAAACTTTGATACATCGGTACGTTCCAGAATTTTGGTATGGGTGACAGACCTGGCCTTGCCAACATTGTACCAAGCTTCTACGAAGGTCGAATTTCCGATTGGGATGAAAAAGTCCTGTTGAGCTACTCACCCAATGTGGGGGAAAAGTGATTTATCATGAATTTTATCCCATCACCGCCTATCGATTTGATCATAGTCCAATATGCTTCGGAACCGACGTCTCTCTCTGCTTTCTTTATGAACATGATCGCGGTTTTAAATGCTTTTGAGATTTTCAGCTTATCAAATACTGTCAAATTCTCTTTGATTAGAGGTTTGTTCAGTAACTGTTTAAGATTATGAGAAGTGTTGTGAGCAAACACGGCGTCTACCTTTGCGATGTTAAAAACATGTGCAATTTCTTTTTGGACGAATACGATCTGATAGGCTGGTGTCTCATTCAGAGTGAAATTGCCCAGCGAACGGTGGTCGAAGTCAAAACCGGAGAATAAAGATCTGAAAACGTTTATTAAAGTTTCTAAACTCGCCTTTTCGTGAAGCATATATGCAGGCGCGCGAGTGTTGAAACGATCGGATATAATTTTGTTAAAATCAGAGGCATCATTATTTAAATTATTAAAAGAGCCAGCAAACCTATCATAAATCTGTTTTGTTTCATCTAATTCATTTTTGAAATTTCTCGTTAGATATTCTTTTAATTCCTTATTCGGAATTCGCAATAAGTAGTAATTTTCTGGTGATTGCATGTCCGGTTTTGCATCGACATATCCGACATGGGTCATAAGAGTCCAATAAGACTCTTCCGTTTGTATCAGATCCTCAAATATTAAATCGTGGTAGATTTTTTTTCTTAATGACCGTCCACTCAGCAGAAAATAGAGGTCTAGCATACCGAACTTGCCTGAACACTTAATAAGGTGTCTGATCCTCCTCAGAGAGCCTGATTCTGCCCAGTAATCATCAAACACACCATTATGAATTGCTGACACAACAGCATACGGGTTGAATATGACATTACCGGCATAGTGATAGCCATCATACCCTTCTTCAAATCCTTCAAATGTTAAGTTTGTCCCCGAGGAATCAATCAGCCATTTGACCTCGTGATCCAAAAAACCGAAGTAGGGTCCAAATTTATAATCATCAAGGGTGGTGTAAGCCATGAAATCCGGAAGATCAGAAAAAATGCTAGATTTTGCTACATAGGTAATCCCAATTAGTACACCGCAATCAATAGAGATTTTTAGACCATCCTTGAAGAAAAACGAGTAAAACTTCCGCATCAAAATCACAATTCTTGAATAAAATTCACCAAGAACGAAAGGCTTTCCCTCTGCAGTTTCTGATATTGCTTTTTCAATTGCCAGATGAAATGGCGCATCATATTCGTCGACTAAGACAGCTATTTTGTAACCGTTAGCTTGGAGTTTCCTTATCATTAGGGAATATCCACGCAGAACTAATTGAAGGCCTCCGTCCTTATCGCGTAAGTAACCTTCTAGCCGTTCTTTTTCTCTTGGTTCAAGAAGCCGATCGTACTTGACAAAGATTTCGAGTAGATCATCTCTTAGGTATATAAGGAAGTCGTTTTCTAACTCCAAAGCCGTAGAGACGACGGAGACACTCAGCAAACTAAAATGAAAAACAACATACTTATGCTGATGTTTCATCCTTATTTTTTCGAACTTTGTATCGTTCTGGATACTAAAACCTGCAAAAAAGTCCATTGCTTCTACCTTTTCATCCTTGGTCAGGAAGGTTTGTAGCATTGACAAGTTCGTGGTTTTTCCAAACCGACGGGGTCGCGTAATCAGCTTCAGTTTAGGTCCTGTAAGTGCCTCCCCGATCCATGAGGTCTTGTCCACGATGAACATGTTATCCGTGACCATTCGTGGAAAATGATGGTCTCCATATGGTACCCGGTCCCTCAAGTCATGGGGATGAGCCTAAAAGGAAGAAGACAATTTATTAAGGGTAAGTAAAGAGCAGAGGGGCCAGGGCCCCCTAGGGTGCGTCAAAAAAAATGAAAGTCTGAAATGTTCCGCTCCCCAGGCGGCAATCGATGACGTTCCGTAAAAAAACATGTTTGCCAAAATTTGGGCCACTATCAATTATTTTAAATGGTGTCAAAGGTCAATTTTGTGATGAAATTATGATATTTTAGTTTAGACCTCGATTTCGTACAAATAACTCGATTTTACGCTGAAATCGTGCGTTTACGAGAAAAATGTCAAAGAACTCGACTTGTAGAGGATGAAATTTTACACTAGGAGGACGTCTTTGTAACCGATAAAAATCAAATTGAACTAGAAAAACTCAACTCGGTATTTATTTTTTTGGTCCTCAGAATTTCCGAGGTCTTACTAAGTAGAGGTTTAAAAGTCTCATTTTTCACGAAAATAAGTCGAAAGAGGGTATAAATGAACTGTAGGCAAGTGTTGAGGATGCAAATGTCATCAGAACTTCCTCAGTTTCAAAGAAAGTTCCAACTATTTTGCACAATCCTCCAAAAAGTGTACGACTCGAGAAGCAGGATCGTGCTATAATAGTAGGGGGAAAGTGCGGTTTGACCGGGAAAAATTGCGTAACAAACTTTCCCTATGTAATCGTCATCAGTAGGTCCCCCTGAACAACTTCCTAAAAGTTAAAAAAGGCCCGACCCCGGAATATCCCTCAAAAAAGTTAAAATTGAAAATGGCGGCCGTAATAAGAGGGTCCGGGAAATCGGTATTTTAAAATGCTCATTCCGTCTCATCATGTGAGATAGCATTTCCTATGTAATTTTGGTCGTAGATTTCATAAATAAATTCCGCAAGGCCCTCCGGCCAAAGGGGGCGCTCCAAATCAAAGATGGCGGCCAAATGTGAAAGGCAGGAGGTTGCATTTTTTTAAATGTTCACCGAAGGAACAAGGAAAGTGAAGTGTCTTTATTTTCATGTATTTATGGCCAAGAAACTTAAATTTGATGTTATAAATGTATTTAATAAAGGAAATTAAAGGAAACATACGACCACCGAGAGAAAGTAAGCTCAGAAGGGGCCTTGCGGAATTCATTTATGAAATCTACGACCAAAATTACATAGGAAATGCTATCTCACATGATGAGACGGAATGAGCATTTTAAAATACCGATTTCCCGGACCCTCTTATTACGGCCGCCATTTTCAATTTTAACTTTTTTGAGGGATATTCCGGGGTCGGGCCTTTTTTAACTTTTAGGAAGTTGTTCAGGGGGACCTACTGATGACGATTACATAGGGAAAGTTTGTTACGCAATTTTTCCCGGTCAAACCGCACTTTCCCCCTACTATTATAGCACGATCCTGCTTCTCGAGTCGTACACTTTTTGGAGGATTGTGCAAAATAGTTGGAACTTTCTTTGAAACTGAGGAAGTTCTGATGACATTTGCATCCTCAACACTTGCCCACAGTTCATTTATACCCTCTTTCGACTTATTTTCGTGAAAAATGAGTCTTTTAAACCTCTACTTAGTAAGACCTCGGAAATTCTGAGGACCAAAAAAATAAATACCGAGTTGAGTTTTTCTAGTTCAATTTGATTTTTATCGGTTACAAAGACGTCCTCCTAGTGTAAAATTTCATCCTCTACAAGTCGAGTTCTTTGACATTTTTCTCGTAAACGCACGATTTCAGCGTAAAATCGAGTTATTTGTACGAAATCGAGGTCTAAACCAAAATATCATAATTTCATCACAAAATTGACCTTTGGCACCATTTAAAATGATTGAAATTGGCCCAAATTTTGGCAAACATGTTTTTTTAC